TAAAAAATAGAAACCAAAAGGAAAAAAATAAAATAAAAATTACATATATATATAATAATAATAAAGGATTAAATTAAAATAAAAATAAAATTGGGTGGCAAATTTCAGAGTAATTCGTGGTGAAATTGAATTTTAGGGGGCAAAATAAGCTTTTAAAAACCACAAGGGACTGAAAGGGGAATTATCCCTTTTTTATTCGAAAACATCCCGCTCTGGTCGTCGGGTCTAATGGGTTTGGTATAAATACCAAAACCCACTAACACATTTCATATTTCTTCCATCAAAAGCAAAAAACCAAAATCCTCTCAACTGTTATTCATGTTCTTTATGCACAAAGAACAACCACCGCAAAAACCCAGTTTCTGGTGGCCGTCGTTCATCGGCGGTGTCCCAAATTTTTTTTAAATTTTTTTGAAAGCTCTTCCCCTCCCTATCTCGAAAATCTGAACCCTTTTTTTAAACTAGCCTCGGGGTGGGCTAGATATGAGATTGAAAATCTCGGTCACCCTCTCCCGATCATCGACGGTTCGAAACAACAAAGGAAAAAAGTAAACTCGAGCCACATGCAAGTATCAAACCAAAAAAAAAGACAGACATTTACCTTTATTTCTTTTTCAAAATTTTTACAAAGCTTCGTATTTCCCTTGCTTTTCTCGTATTTCTTGTATCTATTGTATCTTTTCCTCCCCCTTACTGTTACATGCGCATACATATATATAGTCTAGGGAAAATCCTATTTTTAGTTTGTTAGACTCCTATTAGGACTCAAAGACTCTTGTTTTTGCTTGGTTGAGAGTTTTATGGAGGCTAACTTCTATTCCGTTTTTGTCATGGCTTTTTGTGTGCCGGATATCCCGGAGTGGTGAGTGGTGCGGCCGGAATGGGACTAGTCTCTTCAAAGCAAAAGAATCTTTGAAATATTATTTCTTTTGGAGGATCAAGTTTGAGGGAAAAGCTAGAATGTTCCTTGATAAGTGGGGGGATACGTCCCCGATCAATTAGATGTGTTCTTATCGGGACAATGAGGATTCTCCATTTAAATGTGTTGACTTTATGCTCCCAAATACTCTCAGATGGGACAAAACAAATATCCAACATGTGCTTATCCTCGAAGATACAAGTAGAGTCCTCGGAATTTTCATTGCCTCCATACAAAAAGATAGATTGATTTGGAGCCATCACAACATCGGGTGTTACTCAGTGAAGTCAGGTACAATTGGCTTCTTCTCCAGAAATGTATCCCCGCTGAATAGGGAAAGATATAGAAAGCACTCAGCAAACTGCCTACCTTGCCCAAAATAAAGATATTCGACTGGAGAGTGTGTCATGACGCAATCCATACATGGGGAAAATGAAGAAGGTCGGCTGGCTAAGGGAATCTACTTCTTATGTGGTAGTGAGCTGGAAACTACGATTCATGTTCTTAAGGTTTGCCCTAAGACTCGTGACATCCTTCAAATCTCAGAGCTTAAATTTTTAATCATTGACTGTCAAGGGGCTTCCTATAAGGACTGCCTAGAATGGGCAGCCTCTCAGATGGACATGGATGGACTCTTTAGGCTCCTCATGCTTCTATGGAACATGTGGAATCGAAAGTACAAATGGTTGCATGATGACGAGATGCAAGATGAAAAGAAAGTGGTGGCCATCGCATGGGGGTTGTGTACAGAATTCGTTGAAGCCAATTCAAGCAGAAGTTTTACCTCCCCCACACAAATTTCGATAAGGTTGTCCAATTGGAGTCACCCTAATGCTATAAAGATTAATATCGATGGGGCTTTTAGCATAGTGAAAACCACAACTGCAATTGGTGCATGGCCAAAGACCACAACGGGATGGTAGTTGGAGGGTATGTGCTGCCAAATTGACCCACCCTTCACAACGGAATCCATGAAAGTAGCAGTCTTCACACACGGGCTGAAGTTCACAATTGAGAATGGGTGGATGGACGTAACTATTAAATGTGATGCAATTTCCATAGTAAACAGATTATCCAATCAAAAAATGATGTTTCAACCATCAGATTGTTTCTCAATAAAGCACATGATATTCTGAAAGAATCGAGACCTTAAAGTATTCTACGTCAACCATGAAGCGAATTGAGTTGCTCATTCCTTGACATATTGGGCTTTGTAGAGACTCAATCCGTTTTGATTTTAATATGACAACACGAATGTATTAAGTCTGTTATAATCATGGATGCTATTATGCTATTGGAATATAATGAAATTCCTCTTTAAAAAAAAAACGTATTTGGGCACTTTGTTATGCAAAAAACAAGAGAATGCATGAAGGTAAGTCAATGAGAGAAAAGGAAGTAATTACCTTGATCCACAGCCAATGCAAAGACTTCAAAATAGCATACGAGAGACTAAAAGGGCCTAAACAAAAACACCGAAACAAATTGGTCCCCTCCCCCCTGAATATGGTAAAGGTCAACTTTGATGCATGTTTCAGACAAGCAGAAAGAAGTTGGTCAGGAGCTCTGTTTTTGAAAACCGGACCGGACCGGCCGGTTCAACCGGTTCAATCGGGAACTGTTGCTTAGTCTGGTTCAATCTAAATCGGTTGAACCACTATTAGTGAACCGGCCAGAACTGTTGAACCGTTCGAACCGGACCGGCTGAAAACCGGAAAAAATCGGGATTTTTGTTTAAAAAAAAATTAAACCAAACAACGTCGTTTGTTAAACGAACCAAGTCGAACTCGAGTATTGCTGAGCTCGACTCGAACTTGAAAACTTTAAAAGTAAGCTCAACTCAACTCAAACTCACAGGCTAAAAATTATCAAGTTCAACTCAAACTCGAAATATAATATTGAAACTTGAACTCAAAAAGGCTTTAACTCAAAAAAAAAAAATTAGAAGCTCGATTGAAGCCTAAAATTCGAGCTTGATTGAAGTGAAAGAATAGTTCACTCAATGCTCACCAAAAGGCTGCATGATTTTGAATGTCAAATTACCTCTATTATTTATAGAAGTAAGTTGGGATGCTATTCTATGTTTCTTAGCAATGTGAGATTGTTTTGTTCTCATATTTTTACTCTTTAGACTTTTGAGATATTCTTCTATGTTTCTTAGCCATGTGAGATTGTTTTTTTAAAAAAAATTAAAGCAAACAATATCATTTTATTATGATTTTTTTAACCTCAAATTTATTTTTTAATTATAGTTATATAATTATATTTATTATTTAATATGTTTTACCTTAAATATTATGTTGTAATTAATTTGAATCATTTGTTTCACTTGATTTTATGATTTTTAAAAAGGTCAACTTTGATGCATGTTTCAGACAAGCAGAAAGAAGTTGGTCAGGAGCTCTGATTTTGAAAATCAGACGGATCGGTCGGTTTAATCGGGAGCTGTTGCTTAGTCTGGTTCAATCTAAACTGGTTGAACCGTTATTAGTGAATCGGCCAGAACTGTTGAACCGTTTGAACCGGACCGGCTGAAAACTGGAAAAAATCGGGATTTTTGTTTTTTTAAAAAAAATTAAACCAAACAACGTCGTTGTTAAACAAGCAAAGTCAAACTCGAGTATTGCTGAGCTCGACTCGAACTTGAAAACTTTAAAGTAAGCTCAACTCAACTCAAACTCACAAGCTAAAAATTATCAAGTTAACTCAAACTCGAAATATAATATTGAAACTTGAACTCAAAAAGGCTTTAATTCAAAAAAAAATTAGAAGCTCGATTGAAGCCTAAAATTCGAGCTTGATTGAAGTGAAAGAATAGTTCACTCAATGCTCACCAAAAGGCTGCATGATTTTGAATGCCAAATTACCTCTATTATTATAGAAGTTAGTTGTGATGCGCTTCTATGTTTCTTAGCAATGTGAGATTGTTTTGTTCTCATTTTTACTCTTTAGACTTTTGGGATATTCTTCTATGGTTTCTTAGTCATGTGAGATTTGTTTTTTTTTAAAAAATTAAAGCAAACAATATCATTTGTTATGATTTTTTTTAACCTCAAATTTATTTTTAATTATAATTATATAATTAATTTATTATTTAATATATTTACCTAAATATTAGTTGTAATTAATTTGAATCATTTTGTTTCACTTGATTTTATGATTTTTAACTAGATATGTTATGACTTGCTTTAAATATGAATTGTGATATAAAAAATTATTTTTTATTAAATATTTTTAGTATTTTTATTTAATTTTTTAAATAATTATGACGTCGTCCGGTTATTCCGACCGATCGAACCGATTCAACTGATTGAATCAATGAACCGATATCATAATCAGTTCGTTAACCGATCCGATTATGAAAACCATAGTAAGAGTCATTATAAGGTATTCTGATGGTTTAGAAATTGGGGCCTGTAGTAAACTAACCTCAAAAGTGACTTCCCTGTTCATGGCGGAGGCAACGTTAGTGGGTCATGCGCTTCAGCTAGCGAAGGATTTAGGTTTCCACAACATAATCGTAGAAGGTAATTCTAGGAAAGTAATCGAGAAATTAGTCTCCCCTCAATCAGATCCTTCTGGAATTAGCGCAATAATTTGGGACTCGAAACAAAAAGTAAAAGACTTCCTAATCTGCGAGTTTAGGTTTACATCACGAGAAGGGAACAAAGTAGCCCATCTACTAGCTTTAGAAAAGAGTGAAGGAGAAGAAGATTTGTTCTGGATTGAGGAAATCCCAGATCGGTCGGCGAAAAAAATGGAGGATAGACGCCGGTTAGAACCTCCATAAAGATCAGATCTCAACAAACCCACTCCGGGTTCGATCAAAACTTTTGAAGCTTTCTTGCAGTGTCTTCAATGGCCATCCCAAAAGAAGCAAGAAGGTAGAACGGCTGGATAATGATTTTCAGTTTCCATTTCTTTCGTTGCCGAGAGGATTCGATTTTGTGTAAAGCGTAAATGCTAGACAGCTAGCACAATTTCCTTATTTTTTTTACTGTACTTTTTAATACAATCCGGCCTTTTATCTTTAAAAAAACCTAATATATTTGAGACCCAAAAGCACATTAAAGCTTATTACCTGACCAGCGCCATCTTCAGGAAATATACAACTTCTCATCCCTTTAATCTAATAACAAAATCATCATCATAATTATATATATATATATTCTCATGCAGAGAAAAAAAATTGAGGATTCTGAAAATCCAAGTAACATGGATATGTTCTTACAGGCTGTTGTTGCGTTATGCTTCCTTGTCCATTGCCCATGTACGGCAAGCTGAGAGCCTGAGAGTTTTAAACTGTGTGGTGTTAATGTTGTTTATGAGTTGTTGTCAGCAAAAGAGAAAAAGATAACAAATTGACCTCAATTTGACTATGAAGGAATCTGATATACCCAGTAGTTTCTAACAAGACAGAGGCTGTGTCAGTCTGCAAAAGATATGAAATATATCACACCACAAACATCCAAACTCATTTTTAACGTTCTTCAATAAAATACACCCTATATGATTTAATTAGTAGTTCAATTATAAATGGTTATTTTTAAAAAAGAAAATATAATTAAATGATTTAATAAAAATATTAGTATTATATACTTGTTAGATTGCATCAGGCCAAGTTTTTAGTTGATTCTATTTTTATGAGGTGAAACAATGATCTAATTAAAAATATATATATAGAAGTATTATGGTAATTATCTTAAATATATAAGATATAATTATATTTTTCAGATAAAATTATTTAATTTTTATTCTAAATCTAAAAATTACGCAATTTGACCTTATCACAAATAAAATTTGACTCAACCCAAGCCTAATTATTTAAAAAAAATGATTTTGTAGGATTGAGTCCGACAATCATGTCCATCCGTACTAATTAACTTCTTCTCTTAAATTATTTATCTCTCTCTTAAAAATATTATATTACTTTTATAAGATAATAATATTTTAATAAAACCTTGTCACTACTTTAAGAAAAATACAATTATTTAGTTAATTTTTGATTTAATTAATTTGTTTGATTAGATAAAATCACAAAAAAAATAAAAAATTAATATGATAAGTTAACTTTTTTTAATTATTTTGAATTAGGATAAAAGGATAGAATATGCAAATTGTTATAACTAGATTATTATGATAATAATTATATTAGACATATATTTCAATTTTATTGATAAAATATTATATAATAATATTTATACGAGAAAAATGAATCATTTATAATGGAGTTAGTAATTAAATGAATAAAATATATTTTACTGTATTAAAAAAACTAAGAGTTTCTTTTAAAATAATAAAGATGTAAATCTTTGAGACTACTCAAACTTCATTGATTAAACATTAATTATATACCTTCCCAAATGGAGAAACGAGCTGGTGAAGCGCTGTGATTCTGTCCCCTAATTTATCCTTCCTCGCCTGTTAATACAATATAAAGATGACTAATTAACTGTTTTTTAGGCATGTGAGAGAGAGAGATAAAGCAAGTCCAAAGGAATCATCATCTGCGAAGAAATAGACAAACGAACGAGGACAAACTTTGTACCAGCCAACAGATGAGTCTGTGTGCTTGTTTTCTGGTTCAAGGGTATCTTGTATGAGTGTGCGTGCAATTTGTGTTTATGTGAAGAATATGACAGAGATGGAAAAGAGATAGAGAAATTTTACTGGGTTTTCCTTTTCTGTACATTACCTTGAAGGTAGATTGAGTTGCAGAAGGTTGAACCCTAGCTTTCTTCATCGCCCCACCAGTTGCACTGCTATTGCCCTGATAACATCGACGAATACGAACGACCATGAATTTTATATGGCTTGAAACAGATCTGGAAACTCTTTTTTTTTGTTCCACTTACCTCTGAAGATCGATCTGGGAGTGTTTGCTTTGCATCAGCTTGACTGCCGGAAAATTCCAACATATTATTACTGCTGAAACTCGTTACACATGACTTGGGGGATGATGATGATGAAGCAGCAGCCATTATTTGATGAGACCAAGCAGCTGGTTCATTTTCCTGCTGCTGGTGTTGATGATGATGTTGAAAATCTTCATTTGCATGTCCGTACGCACAGCTGCCTGCACTTGCTGGGTTTTCTTGCTTCACATGGTGTATTGCTTGTTCTTCACCCATTAATCCACCCCTAGAAAATAAGACAATGGAAAAACAGGTATCATATGTGTGTGTGTGTATACAAAAAAAAAAGAGTAGTGAATCAAAGTGAGAGAGTTTACAAGAGTGGCTGGCTCCATGACTGAGGAAGCTCCTGGTTATCATGCCAAGAAGAGATATGAAGTAAAGAAGAATTGGAGGAGGAAGAAGTGGGCGTGAATTGAGGGAAGAAAGTAGTGGGATAAGGTAGTTGTTGTAGATGTGGCGGCGGCGGGCGCATGGTGTTGATGTTCCACAAGTTAGGGTTTCCTGCGGCCAGCATCTGCGCCACCGGTGAGCTCTGCAACACCCCTCGGTTCATGGCCTTTCACTCCCCAAAAAGAAAAGAACAACTAATGACAACGACGACGACGGTGGAGGAGGAATGGTCGCTCGCTCAAGGGCTCTCTCTTTTTCCTCTTTTAAACGAAAATTCGGAAAGAAGTGTTTGAAAATGAGCTTTGAGATGTCTTGCAGTATCTGGTTAAGGTGGAGAGGAAGAGAGAAGAAACCCCAAAAGCCCTGTTCCTTTTCCAAGTGTTCGGATCAATTGAGAACCTGTGGTTTCCTCTCTCTTATGTTTCTTGCTTTTTTATGCTTTAACTCAAGGTGGGACAGAAAAAAAAAGTTGAAACAATTCTCAATTATTAATCATTAAAATATAAATAAAAATTATATGACACGGGTATCAATGTATCATAATCTTTTTATATATATATAAAATAAGTCTAAAAAAAAGCTAAAAGCAATTATAATTTCTAAAATATTAAAAGAAGGAATAATCTCGGCGGACAAAATATTGTACATTGGCAGAAACATATATATCTGAGTTAAGTATATAAAAATGTTCAATCGATCTTCTCAGTATGAAATAATCCCTCGAACTTTTCTCTTTTTTTAAAAAAAAATATAATTCCAACTAAAATAGTAAAATACAGATCCCTATGTACACTCTCACTGTCACACCAGCCTACTTTATTTTATTTTATTCTATTCCCACTTTGCTTTTTATATACTATATTTATGAAAAAATTTATCATATAGAGATCTACTTAAATTATTTACTAAATTGAAGTGTTTATTACCGTGATCTCATAGGTTATCAAATGTACATAAGTCGTCAAATGTTCAATAGGTCGTCAAGTGTTTATTGTGACAAAGCTTCATCTATTACAACAACTCTTCTCTCTTTCTTCTGTTGTAGCTCCATAGTCGTCAAGTGCTCCATAGGTCGCCAAGTGCTCCATAGGTCGTCAAGTGCTCCATAGGTCGCCAAATACTCCTTACGACAAAGCCTCCTCTATTGCAGTAATTCTTTTTTCTTCCCTCTATTGCAGCTCCATAAGTCGTTAAGTACTCCATAGGTCGTCGTGTGTTTTTAGAGACTTATGAAGGTCGCTATGTACTTCTAGAGACCTATGATGGTTACTATAATAATCACTCTACTTAAACAAATAATTAATTAACTGCACTATATGAAGAATTTTTTTCCAGTAGATTATTCAAACACTTTTGCCTATATTTATGCTTTATATAAAAAATAATTAATGAGTGGTTATTTCTGCATTAGCTTTTCTTTTCCTAGTCGCCATGTGTCCAAAGTAAGTTCGCTATATAGAACGAGTGTCAAAGAGAAGAGGCAAGAATGATATTATGTAATACAAATATAAAATAACATGAGTTTTAGACAGGATTATAAATTTTTACATATTTATATAAATATAAAATATTTTCAATATTACCAAATCATGACAAAATATATAGATAATGAATTGTTAGTTTAATATAGGATGACATTTTTGGATGAGATTCAAACGTGATTTTATACGGTTAACTTTAAAAAAATTGAATTAGGTCCTATTCAAGTTTATGATAATTTTTTTATCTCATCTGATTAAGAAAAATAGAATAATTATTCTTTATATATTTAGAAATAATTATCTAAAAATTAGTCAAATTTAGAGTATTCTTATACTAGAAATAAATTAGAATGACACGTTGATCGAAAATTTGATTTGACCTATATTCGTATTAAATATCATTTTTTATGAATATTTTATTCTATGTTAATTTCACTTTTATTATTCTTCTACTACAAATTCTTAACATGACATAATTATAATTTTTTATTACATTATTTTTCTAAACAATAAATTACCGATGCCATCAATTTTGAAATTACAATCTAAAAAACAAAAACAGTATTGATATTTGATTTTACACGTAGAAGTATTTGTTTCTTTTCTGTTTTTGGATCACTCGTAAGCAAAACATGTTGAAGTTAGATTCGTGTGTTAGAAAATTATACAACAATAGGGATATATCATAATCATAGAGATTGAATTTTTGGTAAGGCGTTTTAAATAAAATATTAGTAATAATCGTTGATTTGATGAAATAATACAACAAATTTGTCAAAATGGAAGTTGACGTTTTAGAAGTTATTTGGAGAAACTTCAATAATCCAAGTTCAAGACATGGAGTCAACCTGTCGGCTCAATTCATTGGTTTAGAATCAAATTGTTTGAAATTAGATTTTGTATGATTGAAGTCATTGGACTTTACCAATGGTTATCATTATGGATAAATTATGCGTTTAATACATAAATTATCCGTTTTAGTACCTAAACTTTCATTTTTTTAAAAATATATTTAAACTTTAGTTTTTATTTCATTTTAGTATCTCGTTAAAACCTTACATTAATTTTTTTTTATTTTTTTTGAAAGTTTAAGTACTAAAATAGATCAAAACGGATAGTTTTGGTACTAAACGTGTAAAGTTTTTAATGAAGGGTACTAAAATGAAACAAAAACTAAACGTGAGGTATGATTTTGAAAAACTGAAAGTTTAGGTACTAAAATAGACCAAAATTAATAGTTTAGGTACTAAATGCATATTTTACCCTATCAATATATATGTGAATAAAGATGAAAATATGTTGATGTTACCACAATAGTTTAAGTAATATATCTTGTGATTAAACGTCTAATCCTTTTACAAGAGGGGTTGGAGTTTGAATTTTATTGTCCCATTTTTTGCATTATTTTCTGGGTAAACTAAATAAATGACCACATAATTTTAAAATTTGATTCAATATTATTGTTGAACTTTTTAAATGGTTTCAATATAGTCATCTGCCGTTAACACTTAATGGAAGTGTATACGTGGCAGTTAACAAAATTGGTATAATTAAGGAACGAGTCCTTGTAATGTTACATATCGTGGCGCTGACACCCTACTTTGTTTTCTTCCATTTTGGTCACTATTTGTATAAGATTTGTCTCGTAAAATAGTTAATTTGAAGATATTGTCTAATGTCTTTAATTTGAGCATTAACTTCAAAAGCCCTCTGTCAATTCACTGTAAGCCACTGTCGACCATCGTGAAAAGCTTCAGGAATGTTCAAGCAAACACCCAAACTTCTGACTCTTCTCGATTTTGAACATCACGAGCGATCGTAGGTCGTCTCACCGCTGCCAAACGACTCGTCATCCTAGCTTGGGCAAAACCCGACCCATCCCGCACCGGTTAGCCCCGTTGTTCACCAGTGAAAGTAATTTGAAGTTTTGTCGAAGAACTCTAAATTTCACCATTATTTCTGTATTTTTTGACTGATTATGTCACTGTGTTGTCTCACTGTCTTTGCCACAAAGATGCCTGTTTCATTTTGACCAAAACCTAGTCGAGTTTGTCAGCTCATAGTCGCGGTTGCTTCGTTTACCGTAGGTAAAATATGATTTCCTTTTTCGTTTAATTATTTCACATTTTGGCTGAATATTTAACTTGTATTTATGTTGAAACATCGATTGGAGGCTTAGAATGTGATCGATCGTCGTCCCTGTCTCAATCGATTACCGCACGCATCGCCACGCCCCTCCATCGTGCATGGGGTTATCATCCAACCAAGTTAACCAAGTCTTTTGGAAGATGAGTCAACTCGAAATGAGTTAATCGAGTCAACTCAGATCGAATTGACTGAGTAAACTCAGATCGAGTTAACCCATTGACCGTTGACTAGACTAGCTGACCAGTTGACTTTGACTTTGACTAAAAAGTTAATTTTTTTATTTTATAAAAAAGTTATATTTTATGTTTTTCGAAGTCTTGAGTTTGAATCCGAAGTCCGTTTTGTCAAATTCAAACTTGATAAGCCGTTTTTCGATGTTTCATCTTCATATTCAATATGATTTTTGATTAAGTTTCGTTTCTGATGTAATTTCTTTAGTTATGACTCTAAGGTATTATGGGACGTTGAATTCAAGTCAAGGGCTATCAAATGGAGATTAAATTGTCGATCGATGTAGCTAAAAAACTGAGGTAATACACTACTACCTGTTGTATGCTTTTTGGAACTCATTGATAATTAGTAAATGCATGAATGTAAATGATTGGTCAATTAGGTGTATTTAATTATTGTTGGACTTAAACTAAATTTGGTATAAAAGAAGAACATTTAATAATACTCAGATTGCTAGTGTAAGAAATTAGAAGACCAATCAGAAACCATTATAAGTTTAGTTATTAATTAGTAAATAAATTGACCTCAGGATCCATAAATTTTTTATTAAATTATTTAAAGGTTAAATGTCTAGAATACGTGGATAAGAAATAAAAAAAATAGTTCTATGGAGTAAAATCTCTGAAAGTGAAAAATAACCCTAAAATGACATACCTGAACAAATTACCAGAAAAGGTATATGTGTTTAGATTGAACAAAATTATCGAAATGTCCCCGAGCTATGAAATTACTAAAATAACATTCAGTATTCAAAATAACCAAAATACTAGGGATGCCAAACGGGCGGGTTGCGATACCCCTTCCCCCATCCTCATACCCACCTAATATTTTTCAATCCACCACCCACCCACTACCTATGATGGGTAAAAAATTTCAAATCCACACCCACCCATGCGGGTACATTCTCAAATCTATCCCCACACCCATTACCCACTGGAGACGTACCCTGCTATACCTGCCTGACAGCAAACTTAAGTTATACATAAGCAACAAATATAAAATAAACACGTCCATTATGAAACATAATAAAATAAACCAAGGATTATCTGAGTTAAGTGTTAATATAGATCTTAAAGTACATAAAACACCATAATAAAATATATAATTAAAGTCTAGAAACATAAATGACAAACACATAATGTTTTTGTTCTTTGGCACAACATTCTAAAATTTCAGGCAATACTTGTGACATCTGATACTTCAGTATTACAATCATCATTCTCATAAAACACCATAATAAAAGACATAATTAAAGCCTAGAAACATAAATGACAAACACATAATATTTTTGTTCTTTGACACAACATTCTCAAATTTCAGGCAATACTTGTGACATCTAATACTCTAATATTACAATCATCATTCTCTATTTCCTCCAATTGAGAGTGTTCCAATTTAAATTCAATACTATCTACATATATAATATAAAGAAAAATTAATATAAGTTAGTAACTAAACTTTAATAAGATAAGTAAGCACAATTTGACAACTAATATAAACTAAATAATAATATTACCTTTAATATCGGCCCAAAGCCA